TCAGTGGATGTAGAACCCACGTATTGTAAATTGCATTTCTTGCATGAGGCCAAGTAAACAACATTTCTGGAAGAGCAAGATATGTTTTGGCAAATCTTATAGGTTCGGCCTGTGGAAAAACTCTTAAATTTGGAAACTTGAATTAAAAAATTCTTGCAAAGGTCACATCGATCTAGAGGAGCATTTAAAACAACTTCCCGTTTCCTTCTCTGCCAGACTAACTTTCCCACTCATACAAAATCTAGAAGGCGCCAAAATGTCTTTGAGGTTTTTGGTACGGCGATATGCTGGAAAAATCAATTTTGATGGAAAAATTCCAATAACTCAGGTGACGATCTTAAGAGATGAGCATGCTTTTGGATAACCCTTTGAATATCAGGGAGGATAGGATTGTAGTCGAGGACTAACGGAAATACTTGTTTGACTTGACATTTTTCTTGAGGAGTACTGATCTTTCAATTCTCAGCGCTCTGTCAAATTGATTGTCTACCAAATCTGCATTATAACCCTGGGATTTAAGATACCCTTTATGTTGAACACATCTCTTGTAAAGGGACTCGTCCGCAGAACAGTTACGTCTAATGCGTAAAGTAACTCCGTAGGGAATTGCCATTTTACAGTGTGCCGGGTTCGAACTGGAAAAGGGTGTGGTACACTGCAGCACAGAGGATGTGTTCTTCCATTGATTAATGCCTGTTGCATTTACAAGTTTCTGGTTAATATTTTCGAGAATTTTCTTGCTTATTTTTCCAATTTCCTGTTTTGATGGGTTGATCAAACGACAAGTGGGTCGGTTTAAGAAATTGTCTTTATGGTCTTTAAGTGTTACGAACACTTCTGTCTGGGCGGTAACTTCGACCCGATCGTCAATACCTAGTTTCTTCGTGATTGCTTTGGCTGCGGCGTCAGTTTTTCTGAGTTGCTTGCTGTCAGCTTTCTTGTATGTTTTGGTGATGTTGTCGTTCAGGAGTTGATTATACTTCGTGTCCTCTAGCTTGTAAAAATTGGTTGATTTGTCCGCTTTAACGAATAAGAGATCTTCGTTTTTAAACAACTTGATATCTTCAGTCAGTTCTTTCTGAAACTGGCATTTCGTATTCTTGAATTGGACACTTTGGATTAATCGTTGCATGATTAGCAACGATTAAATTTTCAAAATTTCAATTTGCTCTCGAAGCTTCGCTTCTCGGCCAAATATTCATTTTTCGGACAATCTCTCAGCCGCGGACATTATCAGCCGACATACCAGCTGCCCGAAGGGGTTATTTACTAAACATATATATATATATATATATATATATATATATATATATATATAAAGTCTGCGTTTCAATTTTTCCGTACAGTGCTCGATACATAAAAGTAGAGCGCGATGAGGGAGTTATCACGAGACAGGCTTCATATATATGATTTAGGAGTGAGTGAGAACATCTCGCGCATAAAATGTTATTCAAAAGCGAATAACATTTTATTCGCTTTTGAATATTTTATAGAAAAGGCGCAATGCAAATAATAATAATAAAATGTTATCTTACAACTCGTATCGCCGGCACAAACCATCACTACACTACGTCAGTTACTAACCAACGTTAAAGACAGGGACGAACCGAGGAACAAGCAAGAAGCGATTTATAAGATCAATTGCTTCGACTGCCAAGCCTCCTACATTGGAGAGACTGGCAGAAACCTCGCAACAATACTGAATGGACACAAATAGGCAACGAGGAAGGTGATGTTAACAATCACATTGCTGAACATCATCGACTTACGAACTGAACCACAACATTGACTGGGACTCTGCGCAATACCTAACCCATGCCACAGCACTAACTACAGTTCAACGACTGACCCTGGAAAGCTGGTTCCCTAACTCAGAACATAATCCTCTCAAAACTGGTGTCAACTACTACCTGCACCATACAAACGACTCATTCACGACATTAACCGTTACAAACAAACCCAAGAGAACGACCTCACTTTACTGACTTATCAAAACAGACCAATCACGACCGCCACTCGAGTCTTACAGCCAATAACATCACGGCAACACTGACCAATCATTTTACACGAACTGGACGACTGAAGAACATTCTACTGAAGACAACTATTCACTTGACTCTGATGATGACTTCCGCACAGGTTGTCGAAACGTCAGTCACCGCCACCGACAACAGTCATTCTCAGGACCACACTGGTACCCGGACGATCATACTACACTTTCACATAACAATTTGAATTCCGAAGTTATTTAGGTTGAAGCTGTCGTGACGAGTTTCCAAATTGTGACTGTCTTGTCTAATTTCCAAGTGGATGTACCTAGTTTGTCTGCTGGCCTAGCTTTGGACCCAAACGAAAGTTCTTCAGTTTTGGCTAATGCAGTCATAAGCTGATTAGGTTGATATCTGCTTCCTTACGCCTCATGCCGTGAAATTTTTAGAGATAGGCTAGAGACAATGTATTCTTTCACATTGTCCCTCTTGCATGGTAAGATGGAAAGACCGTGCGCGGCGCGGCGAGCAACAAGCACCACTCTGGCTTTGGTTCCCGTTCACGGGAACGAGGCAAGTCAGTGGAAGGTGAATGCGCATGCGTGAATTCAACCGGTCAAGAAACAAAATGGCGGACGTAGACCAGTGGATTGATATTGCAAAACAATGTAAATATCTTCCAGAAAATGACCTAAAGGTAAGTTCAACTGATCAGAACGTCTTGATATATTCATAGAAAGTTAATTATTTTATAATTAGATACATTATCGTCTTTTTTTCGGTAGAAACTTTGTGACCACGTCTGCGAATTGTTGCTTGAAGAATCCAATGTTCAACCAGTTTCCACGCCAGTTACTGTTTGTGGAGACATTCATGGACAGGTATCGTTACGTATTTATTCAAAATGTCAATATACGTATCAATCAAAGTAAGTGCATTTTTCGGTTAATGGAATGCAATATTTGAAGATTCAGCTCATCACAAATTTTGAAATACCCCTAGCAGTCAAGGGTAGTTTACTCACATTATGTATCTTTTTGTTTTTAATTCTCGTCAGTACCTATTATTTCAATGACATAAAGTTAAAAAAAAAACACGAAGAGATGGCAATTGTTTTCGTATTTTATGAAGATTTTTTATCATGTTCATTTTGGATATGTCCTGTAGTTTTATGATTTGGAGGAATTGTTTAAAACTGGAGGACAAGTTCCAGACACATCATATGTGTTTATGGTGAGAACATTTATTTTACATAATTAATATCAATATCCAGGTTTCTTATTTACTAACACAGTAACTTATTACAAATCTATCCTCAAGAATGCAAATAAGCAAATCCCAAGAATAGTTTTGTAATCTTAAGAGGTATACTTACTTATCCACAAATCTTTAACTTCAAAGATCCAATCAGTAATTTTTCCTTCCAGGTGTTACTCTTTTGATTAGGAAGTTATTCTGAAAATCTTAGGATGAATAAAGCAACGCCTTAAAGGGAAATTACAGTCTAGAAAAACTTTACTTATATCAAAAGTTCCTTTCCTGCATTGTCCTAACTTGCTATTCATTTTGAGCTAAAAGCATTTTAGTTGCACACAATTATGTTCCAAAAATTGACATTTTCAAATTGAAATTGGCCATCTTTATTATTACGAAACTATGACGTAGCAATAGTCAAGCATGCTAAATTATATCCCTCCTGAAGTGGATGTAAATAAGGAAAACATATATGAGGTGACTCCAAGTATGAGCTGATAACTGGAGTTGTGTGAACGAATCAGAACACTAGAAATGCAATATTTGGAGTTGAGAATTTAATAGTGTATTGATATTATTAGGAGAATTTATATTATGAATCTCACTTCACTACCTTTTCTACTTTTTTCCCTTAAGTGATACCTTTTTTTTTTTTTGTTTCACAGGGTGACTTTGTGGACAGAGGCTATTATAGCTTGGAAACGTTTACCAGGTTACTGACATTGAAGGCCAAGTAAGGTGTTCTACTCTATGTTAACTTGAAAATGAACTAATGCATATGTGTGTACTTTACTTTGAGAGAGCAAACATAAAGTCAAAAAAAGTCCTGGTNCACACACAGCGTACCACCATTTCAAGCTTCAGTTTATAATTATTTGCTTACAATAAAATGGTTTGAAAAAATTCATAGAATAAATAACTGAAATTTGTGTTGAGTATGGAAAAGGTAAGCATAGCTTTCAGTTCAAAATTATTTTTTGGCTGGCAAAATTATTTTTCCCGGCCAACTTTATTTAATATAATTTCACTTTCTTGTAGCTTGTGGAGGCTTACACCTTTTCATTTTGAATTTTAGTATGTATTTTGACATTCAACCACACAACAGTTCACCTCATTTCAACTTTGAGGTGTAATTGTTTTCACAAAGGTCAAACAGGTCAACAAGGACAACTGACGTAATATCCAAGATGGTGTTTTTCTAACCATGAAAGTTGTAAAAATGGACAACTTCAAAGCGCCCTTGTCACTGATACTAGGCAAACTGGACGAAATAACAGTTATTTTCGAACTCCTGGTGAAAAAGTCTTGTAATTGAGATAAACTTTTTCTAGACCGTACTTTCCCTCTAAGGCTGACTTGACTGTCTTTTCTCGTCACCCGTTTGCTTGTTGATTAATGATAGGTGCACATTGGATATGTGATGGTAAATATCCAAGGAGGCACATAATCCAGTATTCGGAGCTTTTTTTCAGCTCCACAACAGCTGGCACACTGCATTTCCATATAAGGTGACTCCAAGTATGAGCTGATAACTGGAGTTGTGTGAACTAATCAGAACACTAGAAATGCAATATTTGGAGTTGAGAATTTAATAGTGTATTGATATTATAAGGAGAATTTATATTATGAATCTCACTTCACTACCTTTTCTACTTTTTTTCCTTAAGTGATACCTTTTTTTTTTTTTGTTTCACAGGGTGACTTTGTGGACAGAGGCTATTATAGCTTGGAAACGTTTACCAGGTTACTGACATTGAAGGCCAAGTAAGGTGTTCTACTCTATGTTAACTTGAAAATGAACTAATGCATATGTGTGTACTTTACTTTGAGAGAGCAAACATAAAGTCAAAAAAAGTCCTGGTCTCCAGTAGCAAACAAACTTACACGACTCAAATACTGGTAAATTGAGTGACAAGGAGCCATGGTGTGCTTTGTATGTCCTCATAAATCAAAAAACATATCCAGATTTTTCAAAATGTGCTTGAAGCTATAATCATTGGCTACTTGGAAGGTTGTCACAGGGACATGGTGCTCCAAGCTACATGCTTTATCTTACATCATTTTTCTGCTTTTTCACCTTATGATGTTCCTGCTTGCTCTTTTACATGTAACTTTCACAATCAACAATTATTAGAGAAACATTGTTCAATGATGAAAAGTTCCCAATGACAAGAAAGGTTTTTTTTAATTCAAATGATGATAGAAACCCTCAATGTTCAAACTTAAAAGAGAACTAATTTTCGCTTAACTTTTTATTTTATAAACTGCCATTTATTGAACTATTCCAGATGGCCTGATCGCATTACACTTCTGAGAGGAAATCATGAAAGTAGGCAGATTACTCAAGTTTACGGCTTTTATGGTAAGTTTGAAGATTGTCTTGTCTTTCATTTAAACTGGGATTTTTTCCGAGTTTTTGTACAAACAAACCTTATTTTTAACTACTCATGACAATGTTCTCATGGTGAAAGATCATTAATTTGAGGAAACAAACTCTTTTAAGTTTTATAAGAAGCAGCTGAATGAACCTATTTAGTGATTCATTTACATGTGATGTCTTTATGTGTTGTTTTTTCAGATGAATGTCAGTCCAAGTATGGAAATGCCAATGCCTGGAGATATTGCTGTAAAGTGTTTGATCTCCTCACTGTTGCTGCTGTATGTTTGTGTCACAATCATTACATATGCAGTGTTTTTGAAGAATATAGTGATGTTACATATTATTAATTGACAATATTCTTATTCACAGAAGTGGAGGTGAATACTGATAATTTTTTTTGGTAGATATCAGACAGAAACCAAAGAATTAGTCTATTTCTGTCGATATTGTGGAGGCGGCAGGGCTGAGGGGTTAGGGTGCTGGACTTGTAATCCAGTGTCTCGGGTTCAAGTCCTCCACCCAGCCACTCACTGGATTTGTTCTTGGTTGCCCCTAGTTCAACTCCTTGGCTGCGTTCTTTAAATAGCCCACTGGTCTGCCTCCTGCCCATGGGGATTTTCAAGCACTTAGTTAGTCTACATTGTGGCTGAAAAGCCCCTAAGGGGAAGCTTCAATTAACATATTTATTATTATTATTATTATTATTATTATTTAATATTCTGAAAAGTGGTCAGAAAGTAAACTCTAGAATCATGATTTTGTCTGTTTGGCTGATCAGAGGTGAATACTGTACTTGTTTATTGTCTCCAAATAAGCCAATCAGCGTGCAGGAAAAGCTGTATTCACCTGTGTGGTTGTACCTTAATGTCTTAATTATAAAGAAATGTGGAAGACCAAGGGAAGTCTGCAGAACTGAATGCATGTTTGTAAAGAGAGAAGAAGTTGGGAGAATCTCTGTATTGTTTTGTTTTGTAATATAATGACCTTCTATTCAGTATCTACAATGGGGTCAATTTTCCAACAGGTTATTGATGGATCAATTTTATGTGTCCATGGCGGGTTATCGCCAGATATTCGAACTCTCGATCAGGTAAGTATGTGTACACAGAAGTTTATTTGACTTTGTGATATACTGCATATTCCCACTGTTGTTGTCACTGTTGTATGTACTGTAAGTTGATGACAATTTTCTTTGATTAAGTCCAGGAGTATTAACTGTGTTGTCATTGTTGCTTATTTACAGGTTCGAACTATAGATCGTAACATGGAAATCCCACACAAAGGAGCTTTCTGTGATATCCTTTTGTATGATATTAAGTTACAGGGATGTAAAAGACTCTGTTTTGATTAAACAAGGAACCACATGCGAGGACCAACTTGTCATTGGGGAAAAGAGAAAAAAAATTTTCCATCTATAATTTAAAGTTCCTTGTTCCACGCATATAGCTTAAAACAGTAAATAAGACAAATCGTTTTAACTCAGTGGTAATTTTCTCTTAGTTGACTTTTTGGTATTGTTTGTCAATCTTTCCAAGACTTAAATTCAGGAATAGGAAGAAGACAAATATCCATTCTGGGCTCACCATTCTTAGATTAGGATTGCCCTTGATAAAAGACCAGCCAGGAAATTAAAAGAAGCTAACTTACCTGACCAGTGGTTCTGGTTCTCACAGATCACCAGACAATGTTAGAAAGATGAGGAGCTTTCTGATAAAATCACAGACCAAGAAACTCTCTATAAAATGAGTTCTTTGTCCAGTATTACTCTCTTTAACCTTGTGTAGATCTTGTGTGGTCTGATCCAGAGGATGTTGATACCTGGGCTATAAGTCCCAGAGGTGCAGGATGGCTGTTTGGGGCCAAGGTTACTAATGAGGTAACTGTTTTGAAAAGTATAACTTTATTTTATAACTTTAGTTCAAGTTTTTCCTTCATTTGAAAAATTGCAGACCAATTTAATATTAGTTTGCTTTGTTTCAGTTTATGATAGTGAGTACACTATAAATAACAACGAAAAACCCAAATTTGTCTGAGACTCTGTGAGCCAACTTTAATGTAGTTTTAGAAGGGCCGTTTTTACAGCAAGGTACATTGGAAGTGATTGTCACCCTGAATTTTTCTTGTCTTGCTAAAATTTCCTATCCTCTTTTGCATGAAAAAAATACGAGTAATAACACAACAATGCTTTGCTGTAATTTCTCTTGATATTGGTATAATTTTTCCAAGAAACAAAGAAGATTAATGAGGGANTGGCTCTCATAAGTGACCATGTGATAGGGTGGTAGCTTACTACAGCTTTTAATTAGCAGAAAGTTTGGGATGTTATTGGTTGCCAATATTAAAAATTGCTGACCACAGAAGAGGTTCACAAATGTGCAGATCAATGAACGATCATCCCATATATTAAGTGTTACTCTAAATTTGATCAAGAATTTAAAATATTTTTACTTAAGTGAGGGGTTGCTAATACGAGATCTTAAAAGCAAAGCATAAGGCAGTCAGTAATTCAAAAAAGTGTTGCTCATTAATGTGCTGCTCATTTTATTAATTTGAAAAGTATAATTAACAATTATTCCACAAGCACGCATTGGATATGAGATGATAGATAGCCAATGAGGCGCATAGCGCCGAGTTGGCTATAATCATCTCATATCCAACAAGGGCAAGTGGAAGAATTGTTTTATTAAAAATGTTAAATTAACTTGTTAAATTTTATTAAATTTTTAGCTCTCTTTTAATTTTAAGCTGACACGTACGCTTACCATATTTGGGTTTATGGTATATTGGCCATAATCATCTCATATCCAACAAGCGTGAGTGGAATGATTGTTTTATTAAAAACGCGCCCAAGATATTAGACAAATCTTACCAAATCTTAAACTTTTTAGCTCCCTTTTAATTTTAACCCGACGCTCACGCTACCATATTTGTAGATTATGGTATATTGGCTCATATACCATAATGGCTAAGCCAATAAAAAGTCTTGAATTGCATTATGCAATGATTCAGTTTTTAATAATTACTATTATAACAGACATTTGGGCCCATCTTAAGGTTGAGGTTGAGACTTTGGGTTGCAAGAATAGATATTTTGTGTAAGATCATGTAGAATGTATTGTTGAATTGACAGTTTCATTTTCATTTTCCCAGTTTGTACATATCAACAGCTTGAAGCTGATATGCCGCGCTCACCAGTTAGTACACGAAGGATACAAGTACATGTTTGATGAGACATTAGTCACTGTTTGGTCAGCTCCAAACTATTGTTACCGTTGTGGAAACATTGCTTCAATTTTGGCTTTCTCTGATCCTGATACAAGAGATCCTAAGCTGTTTAAAGCAGTACCAGACTGTGAAAGGATTATACCTCCCAGAACCACAACTCCTTACTTTCTGTAAATTTGTAGAAGTAAAACAAGATTCAATGTTTTCCTTTCATTAAAATTCAAAAGCACTTTATGTAAATAACCCAATTGGGTGAAGACTTTTCCAATTTGACACAAGGGACTGGAAGCATGAAGAGTGCTCTTGAAGTCATGATCATTTTGTGAGGCATATTTACATAGCATTTTTAAGGTTGTGTTTCTCTGAAACTTCAAATTGTCTTTGTAAATATCTCTTGTGGGCTAGCTGTGTAATGTGTACTTTGTTTAAGAGAGAATTTTTTCAATATGAATTACCAACAGTTTTCATAGAAGTTGTCTAATCATGTTGTTATCCACCTACTGTAGTTACCTGTTAAATTTCAGTTTAGAGCCATGGAAAGTATTTCACCCATCCAAAGCATGTTTTCCAGAATTAAAACTTGTCAAGAAAGCATTCAAATCATTAACATGCTCTTTTGAGATACACTGTTTTATTGTCTCTTGCTTCATTTAATATCGCTAATATCAAATACAGGAAGAAAATAGAGATAGCTGCTTTGTAGATGTAAAATCTTGTTTTTTACGAATAAAAGAATTAGTGTTCTGCTGGAAACTAATGCCTAAATGGAACTCTGTTCTTACTTGCATAGCTTTTATTCAAACAAACGAGAAAGTTTATTATAGATAAAATTTAACATTATCATTTTCTTAATAAAGAGTTTGCATTAAGCTCCAAGGGAACAGAAGAAGAATTTTTCATTTTTCTTTTAAGAGTTACGCAGTGCGACCTGGAAACCTTGGTCACAGTAGGACTAATGGAAAGGAGGTTGCAGTTTTTTTGTACCATGATTTATTTTCTAACTCCCCGTGTGATTGATTAAAGTATCGTGTTTGTGTATGTGCTTTTTATTTCTTGTAGGAGATATGTAAAATTTGAAATTTGGGTAAATTCTGTCCATGGGTTAAGTAAAAGTAGCATGGAAATCTTCTCCACAAAAACATCCCACTTAGCAAAACAAACCACCTCTATGCCGGCTCCACCTTGAGTTGATCTTTTTTAATGCGCAACTTTAGTTCTGCTATGAAATGGTAATCCCATACTAAGGGCTGCTCCTTTTTCCATAATCGCTTTTGTCGTGAAGAGGAAAACGGCATTTCCAAATCACTCTTGGAAAGAGTACCATATAACCCAACATTAATTATGCCATCCACTACTTTGTCTTTCACGACAAAACTTTCAAAACAAAGTCTACTAGTCTGAATGCATAATTAATGTATGGGGTTATGGTACTCTTGCCTCACTCTTACCATATAAATCACAGAGGAGTATAAGATCGTATGCTTTTTAGAGA